GCCTGGCCGTCGTTTCTGGACGGGCTGGTGGGGATACGCGAAGCGTCTAGAATTTCTATATACATACACACATATATACATACATACATACATACATACATACATACATACATACAGACAGACAGACAGACAGACAGACAGACGGACATACATACATACCTACCTACCTACCTACCTACCTACCAACCTACCTACCTACCTACCTACCTACCTACCTACCTACATACATACATACATACATACATACATGCATGCATGCATGCATGCATGCACGCACGCACGCACGCACGCATGCATGCATGCAAACATACAGACAGACAGACAGACAGACAGACAGACAGACACACACAGACAGGCAGACAGACAGGCAGACAGACAGACAGACAAACAGACAGACATACAGACATACAGACATACAGACATACAGACACACAGACATACAGACATACGTCTGTATCGGATGTTGGGGGTGAAATCGCAGTGGAACGGAAACCCCCAACTGGGAAATCGTTTCGTTTCGTTCGTGTCGCGCGTGCGGGGGAGGCGAAGCTGCGCGGGCGCGCGACAAGAATGAACCCGCCTTTGCTAGGGCGAAGCCAAAACACATGATTATCCCCCTCCCTCCCGCCCGTCCGGCGGTGGGTCGCAATGCCCCGTGGTGCCCCATGGTGTCCCGTGGTGTCCCGTGGCGTCCGCCGCTGCTAGGGCGAAATCAACACAAATAATTACTTCCCTCCCGCCCGTCCGGCGGTGGCTAGCGGTGGCTCGCGGTGTCCCGCGGTGTCCCGCGGTGTCCCGTGGTGTCCGCCGCTGCTGGGGCGAAGCCAAGACAAATGATTATCCCCCGCCCGCCCGCCCGTCCGTCCGTCCAGCGGCGGCTCGCGGTGTTCCGCGGTGTCCCGTGGTGTCCCGTGGTGTCCCGTGGTGTCCCGTTAAGTGAAATCGATAGTGACATCGATAATGATAGCGATAGTGAGGTCGATCTTGAAATCGATACTGAAATCGATGTGGTGCCCCCGCAGTGTCCCGTGGTGTCCCGTGGTGCCCCACACAGAGAAATCGATAGTGATATCGATAGTGATATCGATCGGTGTCCCGTGGCGTCACGTCGTGTTACGTGGGGTGCCGTTGAGTGAGATCGATAGTGGGATCGATAGTGATATCGACACTGAGATCGATATGTTGCCCCGAAGTATCCCGTGGAGTCCCGTGGTGTCCCAAAAAGTGAGATAGATAGTGAGATCGATAGTGAGATCGACAGGTGCCCCGTGGTGTCCCGCTGAGTGTGATCGATAGTGAGATCGACGCGGTGTCCCGACGTGCCCAGTGGTGCCCCGTAGCGCCCCGTGGCGTCGTACGGTGTCCCGTTGAATGAGATCGATATGGATATCGATAGTGAGATCGACAAGTGTCCCGCGGTGTCCCGTGGTGTCCCGGGGTGTCCCGGGGATGTCCCGTTGGGTGCGATCGATAGCGAGGTCGATTGAGTCAGATGTTGGCCTCCTCCCCCTCCCACCCACGCCCCACACACACACACACGCACACACACACACACACACACACCACGCAACCTCCTTATCACCCGAAAGGTGGCCGAATTGGTAATATATATATATACACATATATATATATATATATATATATATGCACGCTGCCGTCTTGCCTTACTTCTACCCCGCTCACCCAACCCCACCCCACCACCACCGTCACCACCACCACCACCACCACCACTACCCTAGTCACCACCCCGACCGAGGGACCCCAGGATGGAATCCCAAGATGCGTGGGCCCCGTCGCCCTCCAAATCCCCCTCCTCCCCCTCCTCCTCCTTCTCTTCTTTCTTTCTTTCGGAGCTGCAGCGGTTGGTCCCTTGAGCGGGGCCGCCGACACCGGGCGCCGCGCGCGCCGCCGCGGCCGGGCCGCGGGGCGCTCACGGCGCGGGCGGACCCCCCGCAAGCGGGCAGCATGGGAATGGCAAGCCAGCTCCCCCGCCCCGCTTTGCAGGCCGGAAACACCCGACCGCCGACGGAACGGGCAGGGGCCAGGCAACACCAAATCCCACCACCCACCCCAGGGGCCCGCCACGACACGACAGACGCGACAGCGACGGCGACGACACGACGGGGGGGAGACGGACCCCCTGGCACACGACTCCCACGGGGGACACCTGGCTGGGAAGCCAGGCTCCCGTGGGAGACTGCGTGGCCAGGGGCCCCCTGGGAAGGGGACCCCGCTTTGGGGGCCATCCAAGGTGCGGGGGCTTGTGCCCCGAAGGCCCAGCGGCCCCTGCCTCCGCTAAGGGGCGCTGTGGCCCGACACCCCACATATGGGGGTGCCCCTCCGGGGCCCTCCTCCTCCTCCTCCTCCTCCTCCTCCTCCTCCTCCTCCTCCTCCTCCTCCTCCTCCTCCTCCTCCTCCTCCTCCTCGCTGAGCACTGCATAGCACACGACATTCGCACGTACGATCATGCCACACAATCAGGGTGCCGTTGTACCGTACCGCGCGCCGCTCATGGCCACTCCTCCTCCACTTAATGCCCCTCCCCCCTCCACCCAATCTCCCCCTCTGCCCGTCCGCCTCCCCCTCGTCCTCCCCATGACTTTCGTCCCCTTGGCAGCGCGCTGCTCCTCTTTGAAATCGAAGTATCGCTGTATTGCGGGCTTCACCTCCTCCCAGCTCAGCTCGATGGAGACTGAGCGTGGCGACTCCTCCCCCCCGACCCGCGGGCGCGCTCACTCCAGAAGGGCCGCCGTGCCGTTCCACACGCGGGGTGGGAGGGGAGAGGAGGACGAAGGGGGGGGGGGAAGGGGGGGACGGAGAAGGGGGAGGTGGCCAGAGGGGAGGAGTGAGGCCGTCAGAGGGCGAGGGGAAAGAAGCTGAGGAGGACGAGGAGGGGGAGAAGGGAGGAGGGCGAGGAGGACGAGGAGGCGGACGAGGACGAGCAGGAGGACGAGCAATGGCAGGAGGGAGAAGAGGAGGAGCGGCCCTCGGAGCGGGAGGAGTCAGACGCCACCCCGCGCGCGCCGGTTGGAAGAGAGGGCGGCCGACCAACCCCCTCCCCCTTTGCTCCGCGACAGAGGAGGGCGATCACATCGGATCGGATCGGGCTCGTGGGGGCGCCCCTCTTTGCTCCGCGACAGAGGGCGATCGCATCGGATCGGATCGGGCTCGTGGGGGCGCCCCTCTTTGCTCCGCGACAGAGGAGGGCGATCGCGTCGGATCGGATCGGATCGGGCTCGTGGGGGCCGCAGGCCTACCATGAAGGGCAAGAGGCCCTGGGGGGACCGGGTCCTGGGCCCCGACGCTTTCCCCCAGGACCGAGCCGCTTGCTGGACGGCCCCCGGGCCCGCCCCAGAGCCCGACGACGGCGGAACGCTGCCAGGACCCGCTCCCCTCGGGGGCCCGTCTGCCTCACAGGGAGCGCAGGGCGCACCCCCCCCCCCCCCACCGAAGCCACGGGCGGCCCCACGGCGGCTGGCCACCGGCTGGTGGCCACGGAGGGTCTGCGCTGCAGGCCCTTCGGGGAGGAGGAGGAGGAGGAGGAGGAGGAGGAGGAGGAGGAGGACCCGGTTGCCCATCACACTGGCCCCTTTACTCATGCAGGCGCCCGACGTTCCTGCTGTCTAAAACATCGCCGAAGTCTGCTCCATTTGGTTGTCAGCTTCTCGACGCCATGGTCATCGGGCCAATCTCGGTGCAACGTAAAGGAGGAAGAGCAGGAGGAGGAGGAGGAGGAGGAGGAGCGTGGAGCGAGGGATCTCTGCCCAGGGATGGAGACCCAAATATCCGACGATCTGGTGTTTCCAATCTGGCCGTTTTTCCTCGACGTCGGCCTCTCGGGCCCGTGTTCAGGCCACGGGACCATAGCACATGGATCCGGAGAGAAACCCTGGCTCTGGGAAGGAGTCGGGACCTCTGGGGCTGCGCATTAAATAAACAATCGTCGGATGTCTAGAGAGAAAGAAGGGAGAGGGAGGGCTTGTGCGAAGACGTGTGGATCATGGGCAGCAGCGCCCGTCAATATGATTGCCCACCTGAGATACGGTGCCTTCGATCGACCACCGTGAAAGTTTGAGGTCCCCCTCTCGATCCTGCTCCAGGAGAAAGATTGAAAAGGAACAGAAAGAAAAAGAGGGGGAGGAGGAGGTAGATGAGGAGGAGGACCAGTGTAAACCCAAGACCCAATGTTGCAATAAAACCATCCCTCCATGTTCCCTTCTTCGCAATGCCCTGCAACGATTTCTTTGCACTGATGAAGTCTCCCGTTGCAAGACAACCGTCCTGAAAATCCTGAACTGTGCCAAAACAACAATCCTGGGACTTCACCACCGCGAATCAACGTGACTGCTGCGTCCTGACGATCCTGAATCGTGCCAGAGCACCCTTCCTGGGACTTCAGCACCGCGAATCTACGTGACTGTTGCGCCCTGACAGGCCTACATTGCGCCAGACACACAATATCTAGTACGTCGACCAAAAAAAACCGTGAGACTGTTGTAAACTCGCGAGACGAATGTGCGCGGCGCTGGGGCGTCAAGCACATTTTTTGAAAATGAGCCGCCCGTGAAACTCTTTCAATATGTTCAAACGAATGTGCGCGGCGCTAAAACGAGAGCCACATGTTGAAAAGAAGCCGCTCTCCATCCGCGAAACTCTTGCAAACTGTTAAGACGAATGTGCATGGCACGAATGTGCGCGGCGCTGAGGCGAAGCCACAATGATGAAAACCACCTGCCTTCATCCGTGAAAGTGCTACAAATGTGAAACTTATCAAAAAGGTGCGGAAGTCTCAGGCGAAACGCCCTGCTCGCCCTACCGACGCGTCCCCGGGTGCGGCAGGGAGGAAATATTTATCAGGAGAAAAGATGGGAAAAGGAGGACCAAAAAGAGCACGAGGCAGAGAAAGATGGCCGTGAATGGCATGGGCAAACACATTTCTGGCAGAAAACACCAAGGAGAAGAAATGGGGAAAGAAAGCAGACGAGGGAAGCGGAAGCACCCTACCCGCCCCCTTCCGCGTAGTGATAAAGCAGCGGGCCGAGATTGGCCCACAGTCCGCCGGGTCTGAGGATCAGCGCGATGGTGCGGATGTAAAGAAACACGTTGTTCGC